AAAGGACAAACATAACTTCATTAAGAAGCAAATGACAATACAATTAACATGTTTCAATAAAGCCAGTCAAAAGTGATAAACTGTATACTATTTTTATACTACATTTTCTTTAGAAGACCGCGTATTTAATTCTTCAATAATATAATTCAATTTATCACTTATGGTGATGAAAACAAAACGGAAATTCTTTTTGCAAATACCTAAAATTCAATGACTTTAGCCAATTATTATTACAAAGAAAATGTGCGATGACAATACAAAGCTCTTATTGTTTATATCTAATTGTTACTACCAGATTAAGTTTGATATCACTTAAAACTATTCACTGAATTTGCTAATATTACAAAAGAAACAATTATGTAGTTTTCATAGTAGACACCAGAAGTTTTTATTGTGTAAAATATTGTCATATTTTTCTAATAGATAGTCATTAACTCCAGAATATGAATCAGATGTAGACTTTTAGAAAGAAAAGGTTTATGTATGTTCCGTTATTATATAAATGGATTCAAACGTAGTAAAGGTGTAGTAAGCTTTATTTTTCATGTTGAGTTATTATCGTCATTGAAACATGCTTTGTCAGAGACGTGAATAAAACATCGATTTATTGCTGAACAATTAGACTTTAATTACTATTGATTATCGAATCGGATGAATACTACCAATTGTTTAAGTTTTCAGATACTTTAAAGCTACTATCTCACATATTGTAGTTTGGGCTATTTTTAAATAAAATGTCATCAAAAGATAAACTTTCGCCAGACTCGTGCATTATATTGAACAAGATTATTAGTGCATTTCTTGTCAAGGGAAAAACATGAAAGTAAATGCTATGTTTATGATGTTGTAGTTTTTTTCAGCGTATATTGACTTAAATTATACACACACCCGTTAACTGGTTGCAAGTAGACTCGCAAATTGAGTGTAGAACATTTGTGCGGTTCGTGTTTTGTTATCTTGCATTCAATTGCTGCACAAAAAATCATCTATTAGAAATTTATGTCCTTAAAGAGAGAGAGAGAGAAAAAAAAGAAAACCAATTATCGGTAATCCAGTATTAAGCTGACAGTTATATAGTAAAGTCTACCTGCATCAAGCTGTTATACTCGAAACATGTCCATGAATGTGATAAAAGGGTTGTTTATATCTTTGTCAAGTGAAACATAACAACCGTTAGGTCCCAGCTACAAATTCTACTTCTATGCATATGTTATAACTGTTAACAAACATGTTGATGGTTTTTAGACCCGTTTTATGGGAGAGAAGCTTTAAAGCTGCATGCCTCCAAATGAATAAAAATATGTCAAGAAAATCAAAATTGAGAGACTGTACTTAGATTTATAAGAACAATAAAAAGATTTAAGTCTAAAGTTCTAGTTTTCATGACATTGGCGATTTGTGACCGATTTTGAAATATTTTTTCACCAAATTTCTTCTGTGTTACTTACGCAATAAGGGCTATTTTTGCATGTTTTTATCTCTTTTTTCTGATTCACGTGGATTGTAAGTGCGCTATCCAACGTTAAAATTATTTTCTTTGTTCACTTGACAATATGTAACTTTCTAAAGCAATTTCAAAATTTTCATGAAAATTTGTATAAACCTAGGAGCGTGTTGCTTTAAAAGACAAACTAAAAAACTCATAGTTTGAATTAATATCATTAAACAGTCATATACAAATACACTACAGTACACTTAAGTAATAAGTAATGTGCATTGACTAAAATTTTCTAAGTCCAAGGGGGAAAAATCCGTCAAAAATAGCTCGATCGTACCAAAATCAGAACTTGACGTAGATATACTTTTGATAAATCTGCATACCAAATATACAACCTCTGCGAAGAAATTTGACGGAAACTGTTGGTGGACCAACTGACAGACATACAGACAGACAACAGCTAAGCAATATGCCCTCTCTTTTTCGGAAGCGGACATAAACATACAATACTCATTTAAAATTTGAAGAACTTTTTAACTATCAAAATTGGAATGTTTTTATTCAGAGAAGATACGCGTAAAATCGTTTTTAGCTCGACCTTTTTTAAAGAAAAAAGTATAGGTATTGCTATAGTCGCGGCGGCGTTGCCGTTGCCGTCCGCGAACTTGTACCTGGATCATAACTTTTTTATTTCTTGGTGTATTGTCTTCATACTTGGCCACAACAACCTTTTGGACAAGACCTTTCAGTAGACTAACCTTGACCTTCATCCATAAATGACCTTGACCTTCAAAGTTAAAAGTCCAAATTTTGCTTGTACTTACTCTTATTGGCTGTAACTTTGTTATTTTTGAATGGCTTGTCTTCAAACTTAAACATAATAATCTTCAAGGATATCCCTTAAAAATAACCAGCCAGACCTTGACCTTCACTCATAAATGACCTTGACTTTGAAGGTCAAATTATTGAAATTTTCATTTTTTTTGGCTATTATTGGCTGTAACTTTGTTATTTTTGAATGGATTGTCTTCAAACTTGAACATAATTATCTTCAGGGATATCCCTTAAAAATAACTAGACAGACCTTGACCTTCACTCATAAATGACCTTGACTTTGAAGGTCAAATTATTGAAATTTTCATTTTTTTTGGCTATTATTGGCTGTAACTTTGTTATTTTTGAATGGATTGTCTTCAAACTTGAACATAATTATCTTCAGGGATATCCCTTAAAAATAACTAGACAGACCTTGACCTTCACTCATAAATGACCTTGACTTTGAAGGTCAAATTATTGAAATATTCATTTTTTTTGGCTATTATTGGCTGTAACTTTGTTATTTTTGAATAGATTGTCTTGAAACTTGAACATAATTATCTTCAAAGATAACTGTTAAAAATATACCGAAAGACCTTGACCTTCACTCATTAATGACATTGTCTTTGAAGGTCAAATTATTGAAATTTTCATTGTTTTGGCGGTAACTGACTGTAACTTTGCTATTATTGAAGGGATCAACTTCATATTATAACAGAACATTCTTAAGGACCAGACCTTGTTGTTTATCAAACCCAAATTTGCTTGGGCTCTTTAATGACCTTGACTTTGAAGGTTAAATAACTGAATTTTCTCAGATTTGTGCATTAAATGACCATAATTATATATATATATTGGTGTGTATATATATATATCATCATCATCATCATCATCATCATCATCAACAACAACAACAACGTGTTTCTAGTTTAATTTAACTTAGTTTGAATAGTTGAAAGTTGTTTTACTATCTGAAATATTCTTATTTTCATTAATAAATAGTAATATGAATATAATAGGCGTACTGCTTACACATTTAGTAATAATTGGCTGATTAATTATATACTAGTATTAAACTGATCAAAAACGACAAAATTGAAAAAGTGTTGCGTGCTTGGTTTGATGAGGCAATTGTATTTGCAAGCTACTGTCCACCCCAACTCCACGCCCCTAGTACCGGCTTAAGCACATTTCAACATTTAAATACGAAAATCTTTACTGGTGCAATGATTTAAAACATTTTAAACTGAAATTCTGATGTCCAGACAGTGTCATATTATTAACTATAAGATAGGCAGAGTAGACGTTCACAAATAATGTTGTTTTATTTTCATTACTGTTGATTTAAACATACATTGATAATACTAGGCTAAGATAATATGGTACATGTATAAAATGTGAAAAAAATGCTGATTTTAAAAAAAAAAGATAATTGTTGTATAAAAATACAAAATAGCTAGATCAAATTTGAAAATAATGATCAACTTTAAGGTCAGATTAATATTTGCAACAACTTTCAAACACCGTATCTGTAAAGTACTAACGATTTTGTCTGACAACGCACGGATCTATATTACATAAATGTTATGTAAAATTCTGAAGTCCTGCACTTATGTCATGTCAAGTCCACTTGATGATATTGAAAAACAAATTTATGCGAATAATCAAAGGTAAAATAAATATAAACATAAATTAATATAAACATAGATTTTGATCCTGAACATTTGTGAACATAGGGCCTGGTTCCCCACGTGGCAGTGTATTTGCTATGTCAGGGTAGGAAGAAACTTGGGTTAATTTTTGTTTGCGTGTTCTGGTGTCGTGACGGATTCTTCTCTGAATAACTTTTCTTTTCGCGGCTTCTGACATCCGTTTAATTCCATTTTTTTTTACATTTTTTTACACGGAATCTTACACTTTTGTCCGAAATTTTTTAACTGACTAATGTGTGTCAAAGTGGTATGAGCAAATGTGAAATTTTTACAATATAAACAAATAATTTCAGACCTTAAGTGTTATATTTTAACGCATGTATATTTCATACATTTTTTGTTGGAGGAAAGGAAAAGTCGGGGAAATAATGTTTAAGCACGGGCTTTTTGGCAGATACTCGTCTAATTGCGGAGGTCTACTTGTATGACAAATTCATATTGTATTTATCATATCGTGCATGTGAACAACGTGCTCTTAGATATGCATTTTTAATTAAAGTAGTGCCGAAAGAAATACAAATTTCTTGTGAGAATTTCGAATTATTTAGCTAAAAAAAAATCGCGAGTTGTTTGACTCACTACAAAAATCAAAACCATTGACAATTGAAAACATTGAATAATCAGGGTGGAATGTTCAGCAGTATGTTACAATAAAGGTACATAATATTGCGTTAATGTTAAATTGTTAAGGTTGACAATTATACGTATACAGCATTGTATCGTAGGTGTAACGTCATTAAATTTTATTGTCAGTATTGATAGCCCCTTTAAATTTTTAGCAAATAATATTATATATATATATACGTCTTTAAATCAAATAAACATTAATAAATAGAGATAAACCACTAGCACCTGAAATCTTGATATCATTGCCATATTATTGGATTTTCAAAATAAAACAAAAGATTTAAATGATACTTAATAAAAACAGATATAACAATGAATAACCATTTACGTTTAATACCCGGTTATCTGCATAGTACAACATTTGTTTCGAAAATTAACGATAAAGGGTCTAAAAGTGTTTTTAGACTTTAGACACTTACACACCCACAATATGGCGACTAATAAAGATTTAACAAACGTTTCAAAGGATTCTGAGGAGATGTTTGACATAAGTTGTTCATCTTGCAGTGACGATAATAAGACAACTCAGGCTAAGAAGTTTTGTGTAGAGTGCGGATTAAATTTTTGCGAAAACTGTGTGAGATTTCATAAGAAAATACCTTCATTGCAGTCGCACGATATTGTAGATGCGACACAAAGTGAGGAAGATGAGGTTAAACAAGTGAGGAAAGAGCTGCCGACGGGACGATGTAGTATACATCATGGAAAATTGATGGACATGTTTTGTAAAGATCACGATGAAGTCTGCTGTGGGGTTTGTGTAGCTCTTAAACATTGGTATTGTTATTTTCATTTCCTGTCTCGCACAATGTCTTTATAAGATAAGATCTAAGTATCAAAATTGAATAAGACTTTTTTTGGAATGTATAACATCATTACAACCAGCGAAATGCAGGTTATTTAGTATTATGATTACTTATTTAATGTACATAATTATTTAATAGGACCTTGTAATTGTGATACAGATATATGAATAAATCATGTTTTACAAGCAGGCTACGCGCACACATTAAGCCGCCGTGCTTTAATGTATAAATTGTTTTGACACGTTTTGAAAATATAAACCAACAAAAACGTTCTGATTTATTTTAAATAAACACATTAAAAATCTGGAAACAAAAGTGATCCTTCGGAAGCATTAATCACAACAAAATAACAAGAGAATTGCAGACTCGGTTTGATTGAGTCTGTACATGATGGATAATGAATACGTGTAACATCCCTCACGCCCCTAGCACCGGCTTGATCGGTACTCGATTCTCAACACTTAATAGTGCTGGCATAAATGGTACCGGAGTTTGCTTTAATAAAATGTTTATTGTCGGACACAGTACCGTTACTTACTCATTATTTGCAATTTACAAGTTAAATCATCACATAAGTTCATTTATTTAAAAGATTCGCCCTCATTTTTTGCTCGTTTAATATATCTTCAGGACTTGTGTCAACATTGATTATGTACCTGACATAGCAAAAGGTGTCATTACCTGTAAAGAATACAAAGATGTAAAAGATTCCGTTGCAGCTATCCTCATTGACATGAAACAAGAGCTGAAAATCAGGACAGCGAACATAACCAAACTCGATGAAGAGAAAGATAAATTACTCAATGCGGTCGCTGAATATCAGGATGACCTTATTGAACAGGTAAAGAAAATGGCTGATACAACGAGACAAGAGATTCGAACAGAATTTGAAGCTGAAAAGACAGCCATCACTACAGATATCGAGTCACTAGACATATTAATACCTACCATAGAAACAAGTCTACAAAAACTTTCAATTCCCAACGAGGCTCAATTATTTGTAAATATGAAAGCTAGTAAAACAACTGTCAATGATGGTAAGTCTGTTTTGAGCGATCTGTCTTCAGGTTGGACAACTAAACGCATGTCTTATACCTTTAACGAGAGCCTCAGAAGTACGGTATCTAGAACGAAGTCTTTTGGAACCTCGGTTAATAAAGAAGATGTGCAAGAATATGAAGCCAATTCGTATGGGAAATTTAATGTTAAAGACAGCACTGATTCGGATAGCTTTGACGAAAGTCACAGAAGTACGGTTTCTAGAACGAAGTCTTTTGAAACCCCGAGTGCTAAAGAAGATGTGCAAGAATATGAAGCCAAGCCGTATGGGAAATTTAATGTCAAACAAATCACTGATACGTCTACACATGCTATTACTGGAATTTGTCCATTACTGGATGGTTCGATTGTAATACTAGATTATCACAATCAAAAGTTAAAACAATTAAACAGTAACTATGAGGTAAAAGATACACTAGCGGTTAATGGACAACCAATTGGGATTTGTGATGTAAGCAGTAATGAAGTTGGCGTTAGTATATGTAATACTGGTCAGATACAATTTATTTCAGTTAAAGATAGTATACGTTTGACTTCCACTATTCAAGTAGATAAAAGCTGCTATGGAATTTACTTTAATAAAAGGAGTGACGAATTGTTTGCATGCTGTGGATCAAATATAAATGTATATAACAAACGAGGTAGCCTCTTAAGAGTGTTGAACACTGGCCCTAATGGAGAACAGCTATTTGCAAATTTGAAACAGGTGATTGTTACAGACTCAAGTTATGAGATTGTTGTCACGGATTACAGCAAAGGACTAATATCTGTCAACCCACAAGGTAAAATAAATTGGTTTCTTCAAAACCTAGTGTTGTCAGAAGCCAGTGGTATTTGCGTTGCGTCAGGATGTGTGCTATTTGTGAGTGGTCAAAGATCGCATAACATTATACAAGTTGACAAGAACGGAAATAAAAAAGGAGTGTTGCTTGGAACATCAGATGAATTGAACAACCCCTATTCCCTCGCATTTGACAGTCAAAGATCAAGACTTATTGTAGGAATGAATTCAAATAATATACATGTATACACACTGTCGACTAAAGCGTAAGCAATAAATACGAACTACCTTGCCAAGATTACAAAATAAACTTAATTTGGTTATTACCACGTAAACAAATTATCTCTAAAGGACAAACATAACGTCATTTAGAAGCAACTGACAATACAATTCACATGTTGAAATAAAGCCAGTCAAAAGTAATGAATTGTATATTCTTCATATAGAACTTTTTTTTGAAGTGCGCATATTTAATTCGTGAATAATATCATTAACTAATTAATGGTTATGAAAACAAATAGGAACTTTTTTTCCAAAAGACACCTTAAAGTCAATTTTAGTCAAATATTTTTTTTTAAAAGTGTGATGACAAAATATAAAGTATCTACTATTTATGTATAATCGTTATCATCTATAAGAATGTTTGAACCTAAAATTGAATTTGCTAAAATTATAAAATAATATATATAGTTTTCAAAATAGACAACTGAAGTTTATATTGTGTAAAATATTGTCATATTTTTCTAATAGATAGTCAGTATTTTGTGAAATGTTTCAGCAAATGTTTATGTATGCTTCGTAATTATGTAAATAAATTTAATTGTAATAAAATATGTAGTTAACTTTCTTTGTGATATTGAGTTACTTACACCAACATAAAAAATTAAATCAAAGGGTTGCAAGCTCTGTGGTATTTTATGATCTTTGCAATTAAATCGTACTGTATATCTGTATGTATTTTCCTGTATAAGTTTTTTTTTGATATACAATGACTTATCTTGCAGGGCACCGAGATGAAGCGGCTGCGTTTAGATTTTTTACTTTAACAGTTTGAGTTTTATACATACGGAAGTTTGCAATGATAGAATCATTTATGTTCATTTTTTATGTCATCGACACTTGATCCTTGCATATCGTGACTTCTTCCTTAAAAAAGACACTTAAAAAAAAACTCGACTAGGATTTGAACCCCATACCTCTCACACCCTAAACGAGCGCGTTACCTCTGCACGGTCGAGGGGTTAGAGTCGATGACTTCTAATCCAGTTACCTCTGTGGCGTGGGTTCGATCCCCGGGAGATGCTTTGAAAGTTTAGCGCGGAGGAAGGTAGTCTAGTACTGGTGTAACTCTCCAAGAACGATGTTTAGGAAGCTACCCGCCTATATGACTGAAATACTGTTGGGAATAGGCGTAAAATGAAAAAAACAAAACCCATGTAGCACCCCCGTTATACCACGATACCTGAATAAAATCAAATAATTATAAATTTAGAATTTCCACTTAGGGTTTGTAATCCTTACTTATTTTGAGGTATTTTGTTCATGATAAATCTGTTGTTTAACACCGATGTAAATAATATAGTGAAAATCCTCTCGCCAAAACAGTCCGACATGTATATATATTCCACTACTCGACAGTCAGATTTATTTGTGTAATACGCTCTGAAGTCTTCGGTAATCGACATCGCTAAAAATAGCATTTTGTTTACGTGGATTAAATTATCGGGTGTAGAAATTGATTATCGATCGTCGACTGCCCTAAATTCGTCCCTGTCCTAGAGTCAACATAACATCCTTACTTTATTTTTCAGAAAGTCTAAATACCAATTGTTCATTTAGGGGGCGTTTAATTCCGATCACAATAATCCGAAGCTTTACGGAAATAGTCGAGCAATTTTCATTAATTATAATGATATTCATCCGCGTAATTTGTGATTGTGCATTTATTGACAATTCTATAAGCCAACGCTTATTTTAAAATTTGAATGCATTGTAATATGTTGGATACTTGTACAAAATAAAAATATTTCTTCCTTTTACATCGCTAGTTTTAAGCTGTTTTGAGAACAACTTGTTGTTAGGTTTGTCGTTAAGCGCTGTGGCAGAGATTTCAGCATTGTATTTCCTGATCTGTGATAAGAAAATACAAAAATGACTCTTTGCCAGAGACATGAATAAGTGGGACAATCGGACTGTAATCATTACTGATTGTCGAATCGGATGGATGCTATCAATTGTAAAAATCCGATTATTCAACACTTCACACGAAAAGCTATGATGATTAAAAACAACTATAATAATATCATATTACAGTCATATACAATTACACTACAGTACTTGAACGATATAATATATTTAACACAAGAACAATATTGTTTGTTTTATTACACTCTTTCTATAAAGTTTTTTCACAAAACCTTGAACTTGATATTGCTAAGTGTTTTTATTTTTTTTAAAATCTTCGAAAAATGTACAATTTTTAAAAAAAAAACAACATAATTATAACAAAATACTCACTTAGAATTTGGAGAACTAGTTAAGTGCCAAATTGGAATGTGTTTATCATATAAAATCGCTTTTTTTTTGCATTTTCAACTTTCAATATTTCGTTTCTCTTAAAATATCTTCAAATATATTCACTTCAAACCTAAAATACTTGTAAAGCACTTTAATTTTCTCTTTTAAATTTGCTTACATGTGAGAAAAATTGAGCATGTCGTCCACGCACAGTTGTTGTTCAAAAGAGTCTACCATAATGGAATATAATTGACGTGACCGGGTGGCACCTGTGTAAAAAAAATAAACACAAAAAAAACAACACAACAACAACAACATAAAAAACACAAAAAAACAACAAACAAACTTAAATGATAATATGAGATTCATATATACATATAGATATAAGGGAGACGTCGTGACCAAACGTTTGGAGAAACGTTGGTTGAACTCTCAAGCTGGCTAATCCGTTTGTATACTCAGGTGCCCAATAAATTCGGAATCACCTCAGTCTGATGTGCGTCTCCGTATCCACCAATTAGCCTGAAATGTAGCAACAAGATACAAAATGTTAAGAAACAATTTAAACCTAACGAAAATGTTCGTGTAATAACAGAGAAGCAACAAATCATGATAATTAGATTTTTCTTCAATATGTTATGGTAAGATACTTATATTTTCATGGTCAATTTTCCCATTTTATGTAACCGATTTTCATCAAATAAAATAGCAGGACTAAAACTTGAGATATTAGCAAAGAGGACATCGTTTAAATAATTTAATTTGGCAAATAAACATGTATTTTCCAAGTAATTAGAGGATATTGATCAACTTATACCATATTACATATGAACGGATTTTATCTCATTAGGAAGTGAAAGGCACTCACTCGCTCGCTCGCTCGCTCGCTCCCTCGCTCGCTCGCTCCCTCACTCACTCACTCACTCACTCACTCACTCACTCACTCACTCACTCACTCACTCACTCACTCACTCACTCACTCACTCACTCACTCACTCACTCACTCACTCACTCACTCACTCACTCACTCACTCACTCACTCACTCACTCTCTCACTCACTCACTCACGCACGCACGCACGCACGCACACACACACCCAAACACGCACGCACGCAAAATGGCACGTCAATGCCGTTAAGTATGCAACAGCGACCGTTGCGGATTGATTTTCATATAGTTTAGTCGTTCACTGTAAACCACATTGACATGTTAAGTGACAATGCATCATTGAGTTATACGATATGCGGCGATAAACCATCTGATAAAAAGCACAATGTTTATTAAAAATTTAGAAACGGTGATTATAAAGTGTAATTAACCTTTTACCCCATGAGCATATTGCGAAAAATGGCCGTTTTCATTGAAAAGCCTCCTGTAACAAGTGATAACTGCTATGAAACTATGAAAAATACTTCAATACTAATGAAACTTGGCACAAATGTTGACTACACCATAGCCTCTGTAACAGCATGCTCAATGGTAAATTTCCTGTTACCATGGCAACGGGGGACGTCTCAAAATTGCCAAAAATCTCTATTTTGCATTGTTTTTTTCCCATCAAAACTGATTTCAAAGTGCTGCAACTTCTCAATGAATTGAGATAGAGTAAAAGGCTTTTCAGCGTCGGTAACTAGTTACCCTTAAATCGACCTGAGGCCATTTTTAGCCTGTCACATGTCCAAAATTTACTTGGCGATGAGGGGGACTCCGCCCCCCTTCAAACCCCCCAAACAGAAGGGGGCATATCCCCCTTCTGGCAACCCCCTGATGTAATATTTGGATGGGGAACGGCGCCGAAAAAGTGGTCACTTTTTTAAACAACATTTCTCAAACGAAAAACAGTGTTTGGGGCCTAAATAGGGCATTTCTTCACTGTTTGAGGCCTCAAAAGGGGGGGGGGACAAAAAGCCGTCGAAACACGCTTATATAAGGGAAAGGTTAAGAACTATTTGTTCGGGAAAATGGGTTAAACAATAGGCGAGGTAAAAACAACTTTTGACGAAATAAGTACTAAAACTTTTAATCCTTCATTTGATAAATTAAATGTAACGATATCTTGTGACGAAGTTTATGCTGCTGTTTCCAATCTAAATCGTACCGAAGCTGCATCACCAAGTTATTTAGTAAATAAATATTTTTATTGAAACCAGCTCAGCTCAAAAGCTTGGACATTGGATTTATAACCAAGGAGTATGTGGTTCGATCCTCGTTCACGGCGTAATTTCTCCTTTTAATCACTGACTCATTTGGTATTAGTAGTAGGCACTTGCAAAGATATTGATAACAAATGATTATATGGTGGCTGATTTGATACACTTTATGGGTTGTGTTGTCGAAAGCGACAACACAACCTATATCGTTATCGCCTGTGCTGAATACTGCTTAAGCCGGTGTCAAGGGATGTGAACCGGCTATCAAACCGAACCTTCAACATTTTCAATTTTGTCGTGTTGGACGTTCTATATGACTTCCGTTTTTATTCATTTTTTTGTGATTGGTCTCAGCATGCACAGACTGTAAGAACATTTTGCAATTTTCATTGATAACAAAATTCATTGCGAAAATATTCGACCTTATTTGTAGTATTAAAATGGCAAATAATTTAAAAGCAAGTTGTAATTTTAGCCTTCGTCGGTTGCCCACGATATACATTCTGTACATAATATAATGAAGGTACGGAAAATATATCGCGGATAACCGACGATGAATTCTAGCGAAAAGGTAAAGAGCATGTACTTACCAACAATTTCATTTACAAGATGATTTTACATGTATTTGAATTTTTAATTAGCAAAACGTATAGGTTATTATATCAATTTAAGTAAACATCCAGATAACACAAACATTCTTCCTTACCCGAAGGTAAGATTAAATTATTTTCTCAACATTTATTCTTGTAAATGTCAATGATACGAATTTTAACTGGCCCACATGTTTGGATTTTTGTTTTTGACAGCCTGACTTTAAAAAAAGAAGTCAATAGGTTTCATTCAAATAAATAAAAAAATAATTGAAATACAACACTGTTATGACAAACAGAAGTTGGGTTTTATGTTCTTGAATTCCCTCTCATAAAATTAGCTAATATGACGAGAAGCTCGAATTAAGAAATTCTATTGGAACCTCATTCCTTATAAACATACAAGGGTTATCCCAAAAGTTATTATGAAAGTTTGAAAATTATATAACGCAATTTTTTAATTTAAAAAAATGTATTTTCTATTGAAATATGTAACTACACGGCAAAATTACGGAGTCTGAGTCATTAGTATATATTTTTTGACAATATTGTTGATTTTCGTCT